GCTTCCCCCGAGGCTTTCAAAGCCGCGGAGGGGCTCCGGCGGCGGGGCATCCGGCGTACAAGACGACCCCCGATTTTTGGGGGATGTTTTTTAACATCAGAGGTCGTCTTGTACGCCGGAATATACGGTAAATGCTTTTCCTGTCAATAACCCTTAAACTATAATCAATCTATATACTGCATACAATTGACGTGACCAAGACGCTAATATAATCAGTATCAGATAGGTAGCCGTGTTAGTCTGAATCTGCAAAAGCGGCAAGGAGTCCTGTGGCACCTTATAGACTAACTGAAGTGTTGGAGCATAAACTTTTGTGGGCAAAGATCCACTTTGTCAGATGCATGTCAATATAATCAGTGTGACTGTGTTTTAAAGGAGGCTGTGGAGCAATGTATGAAATTCATATAGAATCTGAAGAGTTTAAAGAAAAGAGAACTGTCCAGCAACATCAGATGGTTAATCAGGTAAGTGGTGGTATGGGATCTGAAAGGGCAATCATATTCCTTTGTTATAACCATTGGTGTATTCATTCCACCTTCTGGAGTGTGGGAACTTTCCTGCAAACACTGATTACATGCTGATGGGATGAAGGAATTATTTCAAGTATGTCCACGACAGTTTGCTATTTATTACCTGACCAAAACCACTGTCAAAGGTGTTTTCCTAGATGCAGCTAACAGTTTCAGAGCTTGGTACAACATGATGTGGAGACTCCACAATCCAGTTAATTTCATTGTGAGTAGAGGGAATTTAGGAGCTCAAGGATTAGGCCCTTAATGCTAACCTTCCCACACCGATTTCTGAGGGTTATTCTATGTTGATATAATAGGCCGAAAAGCTGCAGGAGACAAAGATCATCTGACTCATCCCTTTACTACTACAAGGTTCTTCTCTATATGGTTGTCTCCAGTCTTGTTCAAAATGATCCAAGTGATGTGACTTCCAGTACCTGGGATGGGAAGGGTATTTCACACAATTCCATATCAGGGACAATTTCCCTTTCTTAAGTTGCTCCCAGTTTTATTGCCTTGTACCTCCCAAATTATTATGCTTTGCAAGGGGAGTTTGATACACTTCTGTAGTCTCCCTGCATGGTTTATCAGAGATAAATAAATTCCAACAAGCCTGTTCACACCCTAGCAAAACTAACAGTTGGCTAGTGGGAAAGTAAGAAGTTTGAGCAAGGGAGGGTTGTGCACCTTAAAAATATCACCTCCCCTGATTTGACCCAGTACAAAACTTGTCTCCAAGCCTGAACTGGTTATTAGTCATTATAAAACCCAGTTATGTGATCAGACTCTGTACATAGGATTGTTCTTTGTCCTGAAAAGCTCACAACTGAAGGTAAGGTGCTGAATATATTGAATTTAAAAGAAACTAGTGTAGATTCATGTACTATGTGCAGAAAGCGTTGAACTGAGATAATCTTAGATTTGGATTTCACAGCCAGGAGTGGGGCCAGTAGCTGGGACTCTGGGGTCAGGCCTGGCAGCTGGGATCAGAAGTGGAGCTCTTTCCCCCCCCCATGGTAGATTGAGCCATCTGCATCCACCATAGACTTCTGTTTTGCTCAGTTCAGTTGCTTCCGTGTAGTTTTGTTAAACTTGTTAAATTTCTTATTTTAGGCACTAAGTGAAGAAATTAAAGCAATGCATGGACTACGGATATTCACATCTGTTCCAAAGAACTGAAGAAGTTCCAGCCCTATGATTCAAGGAGGAACCAGGCTACATTGCTAGAAACCTTTGTGGAAGATAAGACATATGGACCTTAAATAATCAGTATTTAATGTTGTTAAAATAAGTACAGTATTTAAAGCGAGCCTATTTCATGTGTATTTAACTTGATTTATTCTTGCATAAAGTACCTGATGCCAAATCTTAGATTTTTTGATAAAGTAAGCAATTAAGTCAAATATGAAAGTGGAATTCCGGAGCTTGTGGAACATGTTGCAGAGGGAAGTACTGGCTTCCATAGTGTGTCAGCACTAACATCTAGTGGGAAAGGCCCACAGCAGTGGTGATTCTACAGGGAGCTCATGAGCCAAAAAGCAATGTATGTTTTTGCCGCCTACTTGACTGATGTTCTGTTATAGCTGGGAGGAGACTGCAGCTTATGAAGAAATCACTTGAGGCTGTGTAGAGTGCCCCATTCACTGTGCCTTCTCTCAGATGCTTGCAGGAGAATCCTGAACTGTCTGGCACAGCTACTGTATAGGAAATTAAGATAGTGTCTTAATAAATAGAAAGTTTTAAATTCTATTACTTCACTGTGATGTCTTTTAAAGGATAAGGGGGCTCCGGTTTCCTGTTGGGCAAAGCTTGGTTGCATGATTTTCTGGGTCTTATGATCACCTTTCCTCCATGACATGGGGATAGGGGAAATGCTTGATAGCTTCACACTTCTGTTTGATACAGTTCTGCTATTCATGCTTTTTCATGTCAGATTTATCTTCTATATTAGGGTCAGTTTTGATAAATACAACATTGACTGAATTAGCACTGAGTAAAGTATCCTTGTCCTACTTTAAAGGGTTAGTTGGCAGGAATGGAGTATTTATATACAAGTACATATTTCTTTATCTTGCAACTCCTGGAAGTCATGCTGCTGTTTTAGTGGACATCTAGTTACTATTAATTGAGCTCTCATGCTATTTAAATATGTGCTGCCTACCAACACTAAGGTGATGCAATAGAACCTCTGGTTGCAGCTGAGTGTTGATCCATGAAACAAACATGACTAGATACAGAATGTGGCTTGGGAGTGTAGATTCTGAAATGCATAAAATAAAATGGCTATTGTTTCAAATTATTAGCTCTTAGAAAAGCTCTTTAAATCATCAGACGCCCATTGGTTCTGTATTGGTTTCCTTTGGGAGTGGCGTATTCATGATGGTCCCATTTCTCTTTTTCCACCCCTGTAACTTTTTCAAGAGAGTGCTCCCAATAAGGCTCTTGCTGTAGTCTTTACACTGGTGACAGGCCCTGAAGTAGGCCTCTCTGTAATAGTCTTGAAACACATTCAATCAAAAACCACTTCTGGTTCAATAGTAGCAGAAGCTAAGAGAGCCTCTTCTGTAGCAGCTTAAGGCTACGTCTACACTGGTAGCTTCTTGCGCAAGAACTCTTTTGCGGAAGAGTTCTTGTGCAAAAATTCTTCTACAGTGTAGACAGTCTCTTCCGCAAGAAAGCTCTGATGGCCATTTTAACCATAGAGGCTTCTTGCACAAGAAAGCTTATTCCTTGTGGGGAGAGGAATAACTCTTCCGGAAGAAGCCCTGTTTTACAATGCTGTACTGTAAATTTACTTCTGGAAGAACGCTTGTGCACTGTAGACAGCCAGCAAGTTCCTGCAGAAGAACAGCTGTTTTTGCGCAAGAAGCAGCCAGTGTAGACATAGCCTAAGTTTCTAGCATGGAATAAAACAAGTTCCCCACTGTAAGTAAATATTTGCTGCTGTAAGTATTTTGCATACTTGTAGCACATTTCCTGGGAGAACAGCTTGTTACCAGTCTATGATCACCACATATGTGGGAAAGATTAAAGTGCCTAGTATCATATAGGAAGCATAGCACACAACCAGGACTAGAACTCCACTAAATCTTCTGCCTGTCCTCAATAGATGCTAGTGATGTGAATTGGTAACCATCACCCTTACTGGGTGATGCTTACCTGTAATCAGCAGCTCTACAGGCTGCTCCGATTGGATCATGCCTGTATCCATGAGATCCCATTTAATCAGTTAAATGTGATTAACCAGTTGACTGATTACATGCTATTTTACATCCCTACTAAAAGCCCAATAAGATAATTGTTTGGACTCTGTTTACAGCTAAGTTAAATCAGAGGAAAATGCCTGTAGACAGGATCCTGGTGTTCTCTTCTGAATGAGAAGCACCGGTTAAGGAGACACCACCAACTTCAGTTGGCAATTTCTGTAAACTGCAGAAATTTCCATTTGCTTGTTCCAGATTTTAAGGGAATACCTGTGGCTTTTTGAAAACCCCTTTCCCTGAAAATGATTTTTTTTGATAAAGCACATTCTGCTGTTTAAGATGTTTCTGAAAAGGTGCCTCACTTCATACTATTAGAAAGGAGATGCAACATACTACTACAAATATTGTCTGAAGTGATCCATCAGCTTTTCAAAGTGACAGACATTGAATAACCATTACACTTCACTTCCCTGAACATGTAACTGTGGAGGTAGACATTACTGTCATGGTATAAAGAAAAAAAAGTAAGGAACAATGAGCAAACTTCTATGCGAAGCCAAGAAGACTGCCAGTCATTAGTGGTTGTTTAACTGGTAAATGTCAGTAGGTTAAAATCCCTAGTGGGCCCCGTATTTTCACCTATTTAAACCAGAAACTCATTTGAATACCACATGCTTTATTTGATTGAATGAAAGTTACAAAAGTAGGTACAAAATTTTTTTTTTAAAGTACAATAAACTTACTAAAAGTAACCAAAAAAGCCCCAGGTAAAAATACTATAAAATTTTCATATTAAACTCACTAACATTAATTTATGCAAACAGTTTTTTTTGCCATGGAGTAACTGTTTAGTCAAGTTGAAGGAAACAAGCAGGAAAATACAGAAGGCACAGCAGCAGTATTGATTTGTAGTTACTTAAGTTTGTCCACTAACACTGGAAGTGGCAAGAGGCCTAAATACTGTAACCAGTTTCAATTTACAGCACCACTTGCCTGCAATGCAAGTTAAGGTTGTCTGAACAAATTTTTCTGCCTACTCAAAGCAGCTGCATGAAAGAACCTTGCAACCCTAGTCCATCCTGAGGAAGCATGTGTATTGATATAAAAAGAACTTCAAAAGGTCATAATCTAGTACAGTATTTCTCAAACACTATCAATTCTTCCAACAGCTGGAACTGCCTATCCCTGTATTAATGTTGAATTTCCCCTGAATTCTTAAATTAACAGTACAATTCAGAAAAAAAAAATCTGAACAGAGAAACCCAATAGTTTTGTCAAGAGTATGCTGAAGCAGATCACTGGCTATTCAGTATTCAATGGACACTTGTGAGTTTCATGCGCTGTCCACTAAGCAATGTAATCTGCTTGAAGTGACCAGTGCTTGCCTTGGAAGAAAGCAGAGATTTGAAGAACACTGCTGTAGATCTAGGAAGAAAAACAGTTTAACTAGAAAAAGTTATTTTGCCTTAAAAACCAACAAAGCCTTACATTCTTTTCTCAATTATCAACGTTTCTCTATAGCGGAGGAAAAGGCTGCATAATTTCCTATACTGAAATCTACTCATTTTAAAGGTAGCTCAGCACTGATACATAAGCACTTTAGGTAAAACTAAATTATCTGAAAAGTTGCATTTGTGCAAGGCCAGGGGAAAAGCTTGCTCATTACAGATGCCAAGCAAAAACCACCAGTTTTATTCACAGTTCTAATGTGAGGTTTTAAATATGAGCAACTTACATTTAAAAAAGAAATCTCAAAACAGGCTAAACCTAGAACAGTGTGGTTTTAAACTAATTGAGTTTAAATTTGTACAATTTTTGACAAACACTGTAAACTTAAGTAGCTATCTATCCATCCAGTTGGATTGGTGAAGCAAAATAATTTCAAAAAGCTTTTACCAGTCTTCCCTTACAACCTGTAAAGGCCAGATCTGCAATGTGCTATCTATTCTCATTAACTCTGAATCCACCTAGTGAACTCTGAATTCAGGTGGATCTTGAATGTTTTTTGAATTTCACTGATTCTAAAACACCAGAAGACTAGGAAATTAAAAAGTGAATTTCTTCATCATGTACCATTTCAACCACTGTCATTCAGTTAGTCTGCTATATCAACATTCTTGCATTTGGACAATGCATCCGTCTTGAAAACTCATTCTGGGGTCTGAAATGTGCAGCACCAGTAGTTAGGAAAAACACTGTTCAACTTTGTAAATTGAGTCACTTTGAAATCACAGCCAAAATGTATATGAAATCATACAGTTCTACTTTGGTCCCCTATCCCATGTCACTTAATGACTACTGTACTTTTCAGAAGTTAATTATGAAATTCAGAGGAGCACTAGTTTGCTCTTAGTCAGCAGCCTACTGCTGTGCTTGGTCAATGGACGTGCAGTGTGATAGCAGATAAGCAATGGCTAAGCAAGAATACAAAGTTGTGAAAAATAACAGAGCTTTGGCACAGTTCTATTTAATGGTGTTGTTGGCTTGTTTGTTCAGGGACTCAAAACAAAGGGTGACAAAAATCAGCTGAAAAGTGGCAAAAACAGATGCATCTTGTGTGATGCATTTTACAGAGAATTCAGTGGGTCCCTGGAGTTACAAAGTTTGAATTTCAGACACGCATAGTTGACAATAAAGTTGTCCTGTAAAGAACTACATAACATCTGAAATTCCCTAGTATTGATGTAGTTGTTTGACAGGCAGGATGATTAGAGGTATGGATAAGCAAAAGCTGTCTGGGAAGTAGTCATCTAACACTCTTCTATAAGGTACCAGTAGGGCAGAAGGAGCCAGCAAGGGCAGGAGTGGCAGCAGATCCACATTTGCAGGATTTCAACCCCATGGATCCCTACGCAGTCACATGGGATGTTCCCTCAGTGCTCTCCTGGACCAAACAGGCAGGGTGCCAGGACTGCTTGCCCATTCAGGAGCTTCACAATCCCTGAGGGGGGAGAATTACACAGCGGATTTCCTGGTGCTTTATGCACCATTCATTTTACACACCGAACTACAGTTCACAGGTAAACAGGCTTGCAAAGAGAACAAAAGTAGTGGCTCTGCAGAAAGAACAAAGGTGATGAGGCGTGGTAAGGGGGAAAAGGCCATTCCATGATGCTGAATTGACCCTTTGCACAACTACAGCTCAGCTTTTTCTGCAGTGTTGCTCCCCTCTACCAGGTAGGTTGGGTGGAAAAAGCATTGGGGACTAGACTATTAAAAAGAAAAACACTGGTTGCCCCCTACAAGGGAAATTAAAAGCCAAAGCTACCTGAAAAGAAATATCAAGGTTTCAACACAAAGATTCCACCTACTATGGCTGGAACATATCACTGGGCCCAGCTGGAACCCCTTCCTCTCTGAATCGCAAAGACTGCACACATTAAATACTAGTTTCTTACAAAACAAGTTAAGAATGTCAATCAACACCATATTACAACACAATTGCCTCCAAGCTCTCGAGACCTGTGAGCCACAGGTTTTTCTCATGGAATGAGACACACCAGAAGGAACATCAAACAAACAGGATGAAAACAACTCAGGATTAAGCCTTTAGAATGGAATGTTTTTTAAACAAAACACTATGAATGATACTCATGATGTTCCAACAAAGAAACTAGGCATCTGTAGCTCAGATTTTTCACAGTCAGTTGGTGCTGGTGCTATTGTCTTAATCTGTCAAAATACAGTAGTGACTCCATTATATAACCATGACACACACTTAAAAAAAAGAAACCTCTGCAGTTTGCACTGGGGTACAATGCAGAATGTTTCTCCTTTACGCTCTCTCTCACACATGCTTCTGTGCCAGTCAAGTTTTCATCTGGTTCTTTTAGGTGGGCTCTATGTTGCTTTATCTTACTCTCTTTTGGATCGTAACTTCATGACCATCCATTATTTAAGGCTTTGTCTAAGGCAAATAGAAAGTGCTTCTAGATAAAAACTTAAAACAAACTACTCTTTAAAAAAAAAAAGAAAAGCATTCATAATGAATACACCAGTAGTTTTTCCTTCTATTTCTGATCCAGCATTTAAAAAACAAGGTTCTGAATGCCACACAATGAAGTGAATTAAGTTACCATTTTCTTTAAAAAAACAAAAACAAAACCATGAAGACACAGAGATTTGAAATGGTGAACACAAATGAAAATCCACAGGCACATCCAACTGTCATTTAAATTTTCTTTAAAAGGAACCATGGGGCATGCACACGCACACATATTTTAGTAATCAACTGAATGCCAGATTGTTTTTCAAAACTGCTTTGGTTTCTGACACTATATATACCAGCCTATTCCTTTTACCGGCCTAGTTCTAAGAGATAAAAATGTTGGGTATTCTAAATGTAAATTGCATACATCATAAAATTTGCAAAAATAGTTCTATTTCCCACATAGAAAACAGTGGAATATCAAAGTTCGTAACGTAATGCACTTATCAGGAGTATTAAAACAATATTTATACTGGCATATATAGAGTTGTACAATGGAACTTTGTTGAGCAACTAAACACTGGATGGAATAAGACCCAATCCAAAATACTTGCATTTACAGTTTTGCAAACAATTTCTAGCCAGACCCCGTAGCTACAGAACTCTTAGTATCCATTGTTTCGTATTAGTTAAACTGCAATAGCTACAGTTTGGAAGTGTTTGAAAAATTAAATGTTATGAAGCCAAATTTTTCTTCAAATATCCTGTATTATACATCCAAGCTCCTGAATGTGCATTTGAACCTTTTGCTCCCTCATCCATGCATATGAATTTAGGGGGTTGTGCACAAAACACTGTACAGTCAAAACTGCAAGCTGGAGTGAGGTCTCAAATAACTAAACCATCCAGTTTCTAGAGCAAAACATTCTGGAACTGCTAATGCAAACTACAGAGACGTTCTGCATAGAAAATTATGCAAAATTTCACTAATATCTAGACTGACAAAATGTAGGTCAGTTAGAAAATCATGACATTGCAGGGATGAATGCAATCATGAACTCCAACTTTGCAAGTAAAAGATCTGAGCAAGAAGCTCTTAGAATTCATAGCTACATTGCTCTGAAGACACTTGTGCTGTATTGCAGACCTTGATTTTATATAGAATTTGACCAACTACCTCTTTGCAACCTCTTTTCAGGCCAGCTACTAAGCTGGAAGAAGGGCAGTAATTGTGCTAGCCTGGAAAGCATCTGTTTTAGATCTGCTGTGGTACCTGGTTTCTCAAGGTTTGTGCCACTAAAGACAAAGTGGCAAAGAAATAGCTGCAGCTGGAAGCAAGAAAGAGTAACCATGTTTGAAAGCAGAAAGAATTCTTCTAAGGAAGATTTATCTGTCTTTGGATCCTAGCTTTTCAATTAGTTCTTGAAGAGGAGCCAACTCACGCCTGTCAATCAAGTTGAACTCCTGCAGGGGGAGAGACAAACATAAAATAAGCTTCAATTTAGATAAAAATTGAAGTAGACAAAATAAATGACACGCAGCATCCATTTTTTAATTCAAAATTGAGGCAAAATAAAGAATTCCAGGAATTCACAACAAACAGCTTGATATAAGTGACTTCAAGATACAGTAAAACTCCGATGGTCCAGCAGTCCTGACGGTCCGGCACCATCAGGAACCCAGAAGTGCTCCGGGCAGCCGGACCATTGGAGCTGCTCTGCCCCCAGCTTCCCCGATTCAGCTGCTGCTAAAACTGACCAGCGGCTGAATCGGGGAAGCCGGTGGCAGAGCAGCTGGAGTGCTGCTGGGTAGGTCCCGTAGCGCTGCACCTCTGCAGAGCTGCTCTGCCCTGGCTTCCTGGAATCAGCCCCTGATCAGTTTCAGCAGCAGCTGACTTGGGTACACCTGGGACAGAGCAGCTGTGGTGCTGCCGGGTTGGTCCCCGCAGCGCTGAGGTGCAGTGCTGCAGGGCCCCAACTGCTCTGTCCCAGGTGTCCAGATTCAGCTGCCGTTGAAACTGATCAGCGGCTGATTCCAGGAAGCCCAGGGCAGAGCAACTCTGCCTC